CCATTGCTTCTTGTCCTATCCTCAGAGGTTAAGAAAAACAATTTTTCTTCCTCCTCCTTGTAACAACCTTTAAAATACTTGAAAACTGTTATTGTGTCCCCTCTCAGTCTTCTCTTTTCCAGACTAAACAAACCCAATTTTTTCAATCTTCCCTCAAAGGTCATATTTTCTAGATCTTTAATCATTTTTGTTGCTCTTCTCCGGACTCTCTCCAATTTGTCCACATCCTTCCTGAAATGTGATGCCCAGAACTGGACACAACACCCTAGTTGAGGCCTAATCAAAGTGGAGTAGAGCAGAAGAATTACTTCTCATGTCTTCCTTGCAACACTCCTGCTAATACATCTTAGAATGATGTTCGCTTTTTTTGCGACAGCATTATACTGTTGACTCATTTACCTTGTGGTCCACTATGACCCCCAGAACCCTTTCCGCAGTACTCTTTCCTAGGAAGTCATTTCCCATTTTGTATGTGCAACTGATTGTTCCTTCCTAAGTGGAGTACTTTGCATTTGTCCCTTATTAAATTTCATCCTATTTATTTCAGATTATTTCTCCAGTTTGTCCAGATCATTTTGAAATTTAATCCTATCCTCGAGAGCACTTTCAACCCCTCCCAGCTTGGTATCGTCCGCAAACTTTATAAGCGTACTCTGTATGCCATATCTAAATCATTGATGAAGATATTGAACAGAACCGGACCCAGAACTGATCCCTGCAGAACCCCACTCGTTATGCCCTTCCTGCATGAGTGTGAACCACTGATAACTACTCTCTAGGAATGGTTTTCCAACCAGTTTTGCACCTACCTTGTAGTAGCTCCATCTAGGTTGCATTTCCCTAGTTTATTTGTGAGAAGGTCATGCGGGACAGTATCAAAAGCTTTCCTAAAATCAAGATATACTACGTCTACCGCTTCCCCACTATCCACAAAGGTTGTTACCCTGTCAAAGAAAGCTCTCAGGTTGGTTTGACACAATTTGTTTTTGACAAATCAATACTAACTGTTACTTATCAACTTATTATCTTCTAGATGTTTGAAAACTGATTGCTTAATTATTTGCTCAATTATGTTTCTGGGTACAGAAGTTAAGAGCATCATGCCAACTCAGTCATTTTAGGGAGCATTATATTCTCATAGATATAGAAGTACTGTAAGTAAGATGTCTATCCATGCCACACTCAGGAAGGGGTGATATTGTCCTCGTTTATTATCCTTTACTTTGGAAAGAAGCAGCAACTAATGATTTTAAAAACATTCTTTTTTCACTTTCAAAGAGGAGAAGAAGAGAGCTAGTTGAATAGTAAAATGGGCCTGAGCTGACATGGATCGGAACTTTCCCAAGTTCCCAAAGTTCAGGGATATTCATATCTGGGGTTTTGGTTTGGGCTAGCTCTAAGTAAATTGTTAAGTTAACATGAGCTAAACCTCGGAAAGGTCTCCTGCGCATATATTTCCACAAGAAGAATTTTCACTAGATGAAGGGGAGAGAAAGAAAGAATTAACTTGCATGCATTTTATTTGCTATTAAATGCCACTGGCAGATGACCTCTGGCACTCATCAGAAACAAGAAACGCTTCATAGAGGAAATATTCTCTAATATTTCCTAAAAATGTCTTCATTTTATCATGTTTAAATAGTTCATAGGAAGCACTTGTCACATCTTTTTATGGGATGAATTCAAGTACAAAGAGTCTTTTCTTTAATAAAAAAAAAAGTAAAGTGAGTACACAAACAAAGATTCTTCTAAAATTGTCCACTAGCCTTATTCTTGCCAGAATGTTGGCCCTCACTTATTATTAACTAGTATATTCTAACCTGTGCTTCATTATGTAAACTGAGCCACACAGTGGTGGAGTTATTGACACTACTATGAGATGTGTACTTGTGTACAGAGAAGGAAACACATGTTGCCTTAAATGGCCCAGAATATCAGGGTTGTTACACGTGTATAGTGTTGAGCACTGGATATATTAATGCACACTCTAGTTATGTCAAATGATGCTAAATTATAAGGTGCATAAACATTGAAATTGGCAGTTTAAGCATAGTCCAATTGATTTAAAAACTCTTGTACGGTTCCCAATCTTTGCTCAGAGAAGGCTCAGAACAGCATAAAAATGAAGAATGAATGATCTTTTGTGGAATAAAATGGGCACAGTGCAAATGCACTGGAGATAAGCCCTGAGAGACATTTTCTTAAATTCCATCCATCTTCACCTCATAAAAGTACTCAAAGCCTTATAAATAATTTAAAAAACTAATGGATGTGGTTTTTAAACAATGTGAGCCTGCTCTTAAAGAAGCGGGTCATGAGCAGTTCTGCAAAGGTGGAAATAGAAAATGCACTGCTTCTATGCTACGGTTACCTTGAGAGGTAGAAAGGCATGGTAAGGTGTGTTAGTGCAGCCTTTCTCAGGCTCTGTTAGGGCTCAAGCCTGAGCACTTTGACCTTGCTGTAGCGATGCACTTAAGCATGTGCTTAACTTTAAGCAAGCAGATAGTCCCACTCACTTTCTTTGGTGGATGAGGGCCAGAAGGCATTTGCAACTTGCAGGAATGAGCCCATATAGGTTAGTAGCAAAGACATAGTGCGTAATGACATCAGAGTAAACCTGTGTCCCCATTCTTACAGAAACACTCTTTCATTGGGGAGTCAACATTCTAGGGAATGTCAACATTCTAGGGACTCTGATGTTTAATGTGCTGAACCATCCCTTATGAGTTCATTACTCACCAACTCATCCTTGTATGCAAGTTCTCACTCACTCTTAGGTATGAATCTATAGCCCTCTTTAGCAGCATATAGTTTATTGCAGCATCTAACAGGCATTTCAATGAAGGGCAGACATCCCCCCCAGAAACCTGGCTGCTACTGTTTTGGAGCCTCATATTGCAGTGCACACTTCTAGGGGATGCTGGAGTCACTGTCTCTGAATGGATCTGTGATCTGAAAGAGACAATTTTGATGATAAATTCACAGCTGTGTGATGCACAAGTCATATCCTTGTCAATAATGACCAGTAAATGCACAAGTCTGACCGTGTTCTTTATTTTTCATTTCCATTCTGTCATAGCATTAAGAAGGTAGAGTAAAATGCTAATCTCCAGACAATACAATTCCTGGAGATCACTCCCGGGAAGTTTAAAAATCATTCTGTCTCCAACCTTCTGCCTCATAATAACACCATACAACACATGGTATAATTAGCACAACATGCATGACCTATTTCTTAATTGCAGGGATGACATTTGTTATTTTTTGCTTATTGAGATCAGATGCATTTTGCTTCCTGTTAACCTCAGAGCAATTCCACTGGAAATATACATAAACATATGGAGATCAGTTACCACTATATTTCTTGATAGCTGTATAATTAATTTCTATTGACAATGTACTTACTATTAAAGTCTAATCCAATCACTATAAGTAGGTAAGTAGCAAATCCAGAATAGATAGCTTCCCCATAGAGCTAAATAATGAACTTTTAGAGAGAGACTAATGCCTCTCCATAGGTAAAATTTAATTGGATATCTTTATATGTAGTTTTATGAACTATGTTTGTCACATTGTTCATACCAATTCCTTCATCACCAAGCCTGAGACGGTGATCTGCAAAGCAGTGATCATGTAAAGGAGAAACAAAATAAGACTACTAAAAAGACAGGAGTCATATTACCTTCAAGGAAAAATTATGTCTGGAATCTAAAATTTCCAGCCTGCTATCATGCAAATTTAAACAAAAATATCTGCATTTGAGGTAAAGAACACTTTTATGCAGTCTTTCAAGTCTTCTCTGTAAACAGAAGTTTGTTTTTTAAAGCAAAAATAGAGATTATCAAATTCAAATAAACAAGAATGTCTTGTGATATCAGCAAAAGTGGGACAAGGGAAAATGAGTTTTACGGCATCACAAAACCATCACAGCAACTTTTCAATCTGTAAAAGAATACCAGGACTGGAATTGTAAGAATTCTTAAATCAAGTAAGGAAGGTGAGAGGGAGGAAAGGATGCTCTGTGGTAAGGCAATAGAGCCTTCCTTTCTCTGCCACCAGTTTGAATCCAATCTGTATCCAGTTTTGTAGTGATTGAGAGTTATAAAGGCTCATGGCTGTATGTTGGTGAAAGTTATACAAAAAGCACCATTACAATTAGCACTAGTCAGCACCACTGTTGGCAGTTTAAGCCTCAGAGATGGAATGAGCATGTAGATTGAACTTTCCCTTTTGAAGTGGCCATATTGGAAATGGGTTAATCTACACTGGTGAGGAATTGGTTATTCCTGTAGCCCACAATGTATGGTCTCTATGAGATAAATGATCCCAGTCTTCTCTAAGATTTTTCTGGAACTTCTCACAAAGACAAAATTCAGGCAAGGAGGGGAGGTTCAAGTACTATGTGAGGAAACCTACACTGCATTTGAATGTATCAGACCTGGCTCAAGCTATCAGCACCTTCACGAGGAGTAAATTCGCTTCATAGTTTCTTGGGGTGAAAAATATGAGTGCAGTGAATTGTGGAAGGACTAGGAACCTATGAATATTATAGCAGACAAGACAATTGAGGAAGGTCAGAAAAATCATCTTCTTCTAGGCATACTGTTTGAGAGAGGTCGGACTAAAATCAACAGAGAAAATGGGGTGCAGAACTGTTTGGTTTGTTTCTAAACTTCAAAACAAGAGAGGGAAAAATGTCTAAATGTAGCATTTTAATGTCAGTTCATGGGGAAGTTGATGAAGGAACAAATCCTTTGAGTGGGACTGGGGAACTCTAAAGGGATGCTGCAGATACAGACAAAGTTGGGGCTGTAAAGCTTTCAAACAGGTATGCCTCCCAGTTAGAGTGTGAATGTGCAAACTAATTGCACAGCTAGTTTAGATTTTTTTTTTTAATTATTACAGGAAAATGCAAGACTCAATCTTCCAAATACAGCTACTGCCATCTATTGATGTCCTGCTGTTGTAAGTTTTATAACACACTTTTGTTTACCTTTCAGATCAGCATCTTCATGACCCATTTGTCCAACTACGGGAATGACCGCCTGGGGTTATATACCTTTTTGAATCTGGCCAACTTTGTTAAGAGCTGGACTAACCTAAAACTACAGACCCTGCCTCCAGTTCAGCTGGCTCACAAGTACTTTGAACTCTTCCCTGAGCAAAAGGACCCTCTCTGGCAGGTAATACAACATACCACCAATAGTCCCACTCATAATTCTTCAATTACAATGCACTTCTAAAATCTTTTGCAAAAAGACACATTAAAAATGAAGATATTTTATTTTGTTTTAAATGCCTTTTTGGATTCATTTTTATTTTCTTCAAAGACAACAGCTTTGACTGAGAATATATTTGCATATTTGTTAGCTGTTATGTGATATGCATAGATAAAGCAGGGCACTTGCTTAAACTCAGTCAAATACCAGCCCTTTAAGAGCAGTTGGTTGCTATTTATCTGGGCTTCCCATCCCTCGTCCCTCTTGTTTTCTTGATGCATCACATTGTATAAACTTACCTTGATGAACAATCATTAGGATGAAAACAGATGAGTGAGATCTACCACAATTCATTGTGCTCATTAATATGGAATCACTAGCATTAAGTCACTGCAGCTATAGTAAGGATTCCCAGAATACAATATCCCCTTCTTTAAAACAGCAAGGAAAAAATCCTATATGGTCGATAGTGATTAGCATAAACAGTTACTTTGAAAATAAAGTGTCTTACCCCAACTCAATAAAGACTAGTTCCCACCTCCATTTGAAATAAACGCCAACACTACACGTAAGGCCAGGATAGCAATTGTCAAATAATTATCACATATTCATGGTTCCTCTCTGATTCAACACATGATATGCCAAAACATACTCTCAGTTACACAAGTGTAAATCCAGAATAACTCAAAGGAAATATGTGCACTTATTCCAGATTTACAGTGGTATAAGAGAGCAGAATTTGTTTTTAACTAGTTTTGGCAAGATCAGCAGCTAATGTATATATTGGCCTAGCTTCAATTGATAGAGCTATACTGATTTGCACCAGCTAAAAATTTGTCCCATTATATTTGATTAACTTAATGCATTAACAAATCAGGTTTTCCATTACTAGCTTATGCAAAGGCAACATCAGTGTAATAACTTCTTGAAAGAATAATCAACTCTTACTTTTTTCTTCAGGTTTTCTGTTCACACATTTTTATTTTGCATTAACATGTAGTAGAAAGTTAGTGTTGAATAATAACCTAAATTTCTCTTTTTCCCCCCTGTCTTTTGGATTATTATGTAAATTTAAATTGTCACTAACTACTATATATTTGAAACTTCTTTCTCACCTAGTAAGTAACATGAATAGCTAGACGGCATCATAGTAATGGGTAATTTTAACCATAAATGGAAATTTGGTTATTAATACTTAATTTTTATTCCCTTTAAATCTAAAATGAACTTAGGCCTCAATCATACAAGGCCCTTAGGCGAGTGCTTTAATTTTAGGCACATGAATAGTCTTATTGACTCATTTGCTTGATCAGCACCATAGTGATTGTGAACCAGGTCAGACTGGCAGAACTAAAGAATAGTGTCCTCTACAGGTAGAGTACAAGAAGGATTTGTGCCAGCTTCTCCAGACTGCTGTACATCAGCCTTGACTTAGAGAGATTTCCTATAGGGATGAGAAGGTAGTTCAGGCTCTATGCCTCAGAGAAGAGATTGTCAACAAGACTTTTAATTATGCTGAGGATATCTGTTTCCTAGGAATTGAATTATAACCATTGACTCATGTTGTAAACTGCACCATACAGAATTGTATCGTGATGACTTTCAGTCACTTGAAGAGCTGACTAATGTGGAGCAAACAACTTGATGAATTAATTTAGCTTTATTTTATACCCATGGAATATCTGCAAGCAGATTTCACTTCAAATTTATTAGGCTAATCTTTTTAGATTTTTTTGAAAAATGAGAAATTGTTCAATTTAAAAAAAAATGGAAAAATGAAAATGGGCTGCGGGGTGGGCAGGGAGTAAAAGCAAAAAAGACTTTCTGGATTAAGACTTTAAAAAATAACAAACTTAAGAATCAAAGAGTCCTGTGGTACCTTATAGACTAACAGACGTATTGGAGCATGAGCTTTCGTGGGTGAACACCCACTTCATCAGATGCACCCACGAAAGCTCATGCTCCAATACGTCTGTTAGTTTATAAGGTGCCACAGGACTCTTTGCTGCTTTTACAGATCCAGACTAACACGGCTACCCCTCTGATACTTGAAACTTAAGAATGAATGAGTATTCTCCCCCAATTCTCCATTTCAAAACGTTTGTGTTTGAAAAATGCTGACCAGCTGTAATAACTTAAAATTTGGGGACATATCTTTTATCAGGTGTAAATGACTTTATTTTAGCTGAGCTACACTGATTTATACCAGCTAACAGGTTGGCCCTGTTATTTTATGGATTAATAGTGAATCTTCTAATTTGAGCTGTGTGTAGTTGTGATTGGTCAGGTAATTCTCATGGTGTGCCTATGTACCTATTCCTGACTGTACAAGTATGTAAGCATTTCCAGCAGAAATACTGAAATTCACTTCCTTCTTTACTTACTAGGAACATTTGTATCATGTCAGTGAAATAACCTCCCGTCTTAATTTTCAGATGCTTATTTACAATGAGGAGGGGGTAAATTACATTTATCTATCTATATCAGTCCATCTTTCTATCCATTTACGAAGTGCCAATCACATTTACACCCAAATGTAAATGAGTATTCTGAGTTCCCTTATTGCATTCTGTATTTCAGACACCATTGTAACAACACTATGCTTATTTTGGGGCCCTGATTCTAAAAGAAGCTGGACACCTGAAGTGATAGTCTAGCTCAGCCAGAAGTTATGGGCTTGATGCAGGAACCATTTGGTAAAATTTTCTGGCCTGTTATGGAGGAGATCAGACTAGATAATCATGATGCTCTTTTCTGGGCTTAAAAATTGATGAATCTATAAACATAGAAGTCCCATGCATGTAATACATGGGGAGAAAGAAGGAAATGCTCAACTTTACTGATTTCATTGGGATTAATCTAGGTCTTGATCCTGCAACATATGGAACACTCTGATCCCGATGTGCCAAAACACTCAAGCGTGTGTCTAGCATTCTTAATTGATTCATTGGTTGGGGCCAGAGTGCTTAGTTCCTTGCAGGACTGAATTACTGGGGTGAAATTTGAAAAGTGTTGCCACTGACTTCAACCATGCTAGGATTTCATCCCAGTGCATAAAATTAAGTATGTGTGTAAATCTCTACTACATGGAAATTTCCTCCAGTGTGGCAGAAATAATTGTCTTTTTCCCCCTCAGAATCCATGTGATGATAAACGGCATAGGGATATCTGGTCCAGAGATAAAACTTGTTACCATCTTCCAAAATTCCTTGTGATTGGACCTCAGAAAACAGGTGAATTGCAATGACTTGAATAGAGGGTGTGAGTCTAAGCATATTATAGCCCATTTTTTTGGAGTTGTATATATTTATTTTGGAATAATGCATGATAGAGTAAATTCAAATGTAGAAAGGTAATATATTCTAAATAGAAACCGATCGCTGCTGTTAACTTTTCCATTGCTTATGGGGAGAAAGTGGCTTGGATAAAATAGGAACTCTCTTTCCGAATCATCAGCCACCTTTAGAACAAGCCCAGGTTGTTATCCTAGTACTCCTACCAGATGTATTGTTATATCTCACAAAAATGCCTATTCTCATGGGAATTCAAGTTGATTTTGTAGACTCAAGGGGCTTGGATAGTTTTGATAATACCTTTCTTTGAACTGGAAAGGCTCATGAGGTCAAAATAGCAACACTTTGCAGTTATACTCCTTCCTATTAAACTAAAGGAATACTTTTCCCCTAGTAATTATGGGATTGGCTATGTTGGTGATAACTTTTGTGTGGGAGCAGTTAGCCTCATTACAAGGGAGGCTGCATATCGAAATACTAGGCTATGTTTCAGATACTGTTCCCATGCTTTATTCCAATGCAATTTTCAGAACACAGGGTCAAATTCACCCACCTGCATAGGGTCAGCACAAGACGTACCCTATTTTAAAATGGAATTTCAGTAGCACTCAGCTTTTGTACTGGCACTCTGTACAGGGGAGAATTTAATTCATAGAGAAGGTGCAGCATGTCATTCCACCATAATGAAAACAATGCAGTTAGTAAAACTAGAAACCAAATATGGCCAATTATCAGAACTCAGTATACACCAATGTAAGGAATAATTTTGTCCTGATTACTTTCTCAGGAGTTGAAGGATAATCAGAGTTAAAGCATTTCACTCATGATGTTTTCAGTTAAATTATTTTATATTTTCTACAGTTGATACCTACCTCCTTTGTAAAGTGTTTTGAGATCTAAAGATGAATAGCACAATATAACAGCTAGGTATTTATACAGATCTCATGTAATCATTTTTCCCCAAAAACTGATTTAAGTTTTGTGTCAATGTGTTCTGCATTTAGCAGACTTGTAATATGGAAGTAGTCAGAAAGTAGAGCAAACATTCACAACAAATACACTTGTTGTTATGCTGTGAGACACAAAGATAAGGTAACTATTAAGAGCTCTGACCAAATATCTTCACAATGTTTGCAATCCTAATAAGAGTATGTATTACCTATATAGTCCCTTTCATTTGGGGATGTCAAAGTGCTTTACAAACTTTAAACCCAACAAACCCCTCTGTGGGATAGTTAATATTGTCATCAGCTTACAGAAGATGGAAGCCCAGGGAAAGAGAAGTTGCCCAAGGTTACATAGACTATGTCTACACATGTGTGTGTAGAGTACAGACACTGCACCTCCCCAGAATATGAATATAAATAGCAGTGTAGACAGTGAGGCACTGCTTAAATAAGTAAAGACATGCAGAACCTTAGGGAATATACCCTACACAGCTCTCTACATACACTCATCTACACTGCTATTTTTAACAGTGTAGTATCCTGCTGCCACCCCCTGGCCAGAGCCATTCACTGCCACATGTAGCTACACACCACAGTGTGGATGCGGCCTGTTTTTCACTGCTGCCTGGAGCTATACATACCCTATGTGCCACTGACAATGTAGACAGACCAGGATGAGTCAGTGATAGAGTCATTGATACACTGATTGCTGTTGCTCTCAGCACTAGGCATTCCCTAGAGAATATACCTTTAAATTCCTGTTCTCTTTTAAAAAAAACAAACAAAAAAATATTTCTCAACCAAGTCACCATAAATCTCAACCTGGAGGTGAGATGTGTGAAAATCTTTATACACCATTTAAAATGGCTCTTTTTAATCAATTAATAGAAAGTTTTAAAAGAAATTCTGCTGCAATCTCAAGTAACACCACATTTTTCATTTCCAGTGGCCAAATAGCTAGCATGAAACTGTCTTTCTTGGTGATTCCCAGCTACTTATGACATTTAGGTCTGGTCTAACTCTGTAAACATGTACATTAAAATGTAGCTCCAACCGATGTAATTTGCCCACTACGCTGACTTAATATCTCCACCTCCGCAAGAGACGTTGTGCTTAGGTCAATGTAGTTAAGTCGATGCAGTGTCAGTGTAGACACTGTGTTGCTTACATTGACATTTGCTGCCTTTCAGAAGCTGTCCCACAATAGTTAAATTGGTACAAGTGCTCCTGGTGAGGACGAACACCGCCGACACAAAGAGCATAGTGTCTTAGGGTATGTCTACACTACGAAATTAGTTCGAATTTATAGAAGCCGGTTTTATTGAAATCGGTTGTATACAGCCGATTGTGTGTGTCCACACATAAAATGCTCTAGGTGCTCTAGTCGGTGGACCGCGTCTAGGGTGACCAGATGTCCCGATTTTATAGGGACAGTCCCGATTTTTGGGTCTTTTTCTTATATAGGCTCCTATTACCCCCCACCCCTGTCCCGATTTTTTACACTTGCTGTCTGGTCACCCTAACCGCGTCCACAATACGAGGCTAGCGTCGACTTCTGGAGCATTGCACTATGGGTAGCTATCCCACAGCTATCCCACAGTTCCCGCAGTCTCCGCCGCCCCTTGGAATTCTGGGTTGAGATCCCAATGCCCGGATGATGCAAAACAGTGTCGCGGGCGGTTCTGTGTACATGTCGTCAGGCCCCTCCCCCCCCGTCACAGCAACGGCAGACAATAGATTCGCGCCTTTTTATCTGGGTTACCTGGGTTACCTGTGCAGACAACATGGAGCCCGCTCAGCACAGCTGAGCTCA